TGTGAGGTACATGCCGGAGTGACCGTAGTCACCCTGGGGCAAAACGCTACTGCGCCTCTCACTTTTCTACAGAGTAAAAGGCGCAACAGCGTCCCGCCTTAGACGACAGCCTCCGGCCGCACTGGAGTATCATCTGTCTCGGGTCGTTTACAGCGGTCACATCGCCCCAAGATGTGGCCGCAGCGACCCGTAGGCGGCGATTGGGGAATTAGCGACCCCTGCCGCGCCCCCTCCTTCGAGCGGGATCGGCCATCTCCCGATCCCGCTCTGTGGCCTCCTTTTGGAGCATAACATCCTCGCAGAAGGAGACCGCGGCTGCCCATTCCTCGCCACTCGCCAGAATTGCCGCGATTAATGCTGGCGGTGACAGGTTTCGTCCGATCTGTCCGACCAAGACTCGACGTTCGGACTCCCATGCAGGGCAGTCCTCCGGCGTGTGCTGGGCGGAGTCCCGGTCGGACCCGCAATGGTGGCATTGTGCCGTAACCTTCCGTCAAATCCGATTCAGATACTCACCGAAGCAACCGTGTCGTTCCTCCCTAGCCACGCTTCGAAGCTCGGCAGAACGGCTCCGACGGCGCGTTGGCTAGCACACCCCTGGATTACAAGCCGTGCCTACCACGCCCGCAGTGCCTGCGTATGCGCGTTCCGCCGTAGTATTCCGGGCTCATGATCCGGCGCGGCCTCCTCACCATTCCGATCGACAGAACGAACTTGGTCATAGACCATCGCGTCCATGTCGGCCAGAATGTCGAAGGGTGGATATCGCGCCACGACCGTCGCCGCCTCAAACGGCCCACGCCCGCTGATACGATCTCAAAGAGTTTCCCTGACTCGTTCAGCAGGCATATCGGTCGGAACGCAGAGGGAGAATCTGCAGTCCTACCTTCCTTTTTCCAGAGCACCAGTCTCGCTTCTTTCCAGCCGAGGGGGAAGACACCGAGGCTAAGACAATCTGTGAAAATCCGCCTCAGTTTATCCCCCAGTACCGACAGAGCTATCACCAGCGCCCGACCTGGAATACCATCAGGTCCGGGCGCAGTGTTGCGGGAAACCAGCCGCCGCACGACTCGGTCCAGCTCTCCCTCCGTCACCTCCCACTCGTCGAACCAGAGTTGCCAGTCCGATTGTAACGGAAAGATCAAGGGACTGTCATAGACCTGTGGCGAGTAGGCGAGTACCCCTATGCGTTAGGACGAAGCATTAGATCATACGATCTACGTCATATGGCGTGATGTTCTGCACGTGTAAGGGATTGATATGGAAAGCCCCGCCTACCGCAGGATGGCCGCCCACTTTCTAATGTGCTACCAGCGCGCGCGCAATATGGAGGACGCACATCTTTTGTTCCACGCCGACGCCCACATTCAGAAAGTGCCAGGATGGAACCTTTATTATTATTAATTGTTTATGTATATATATACTGTGTCGCATTTTATTAGAAATCATTCTGCCTTATGTTATCACCTTGGTACAATAAAGAACTGATTACTCCATTGCCGAACTCTTTAATTATTTAGTAGTAAAACAAGTATTATTCGCTTCGCTTGCAGTGATTTATGATAAAGAACTCATTAATAGTCGGGTGATTAACACGTTTAACGACACTGGAACTGGTGCGGGTTCGATTCCAAACCACTTCGCTTCACGAGTGCAAGTTCGCTTCTAACCTACTTCGCTTCGCTGAAGTGCACGCATCCGTGTCAATACAAAAAGTCGGAAAACCAGCAAGGCAGCCACTAGTGGCGGTAAACGACTGCCTAACAATATCAAGCCGCCTGTTCATCACGGATCGCAAAAGTAAAGTACAATATCTAATTGATACGGGTTCAGACCTGTGCGTGTACCCACGATCTGCTGTTCGGGAGCCACGTATAAGGACCAAATACGAGCTGTTCGCCGCTAACGGGACTGTTACTTGCCGCTTACATTGGACCTAGGCTTCGATTCCAGTATATCACACTCCACAGACTCTTGGGAAGAGCGTGTCTATCACTCTTCCCAGGAACTCCGGGTCCAGGGTTTCCGTCAATGGAGGGACCCATGGTTTTAGCTTGCCCAGTACAATTTTGTACGGGCGCCCCCATGGGTCCCTATCCAGTCCCCCGATGATTTCTTTCCGAGCCTTGGCCTCAGCGATTGCATCGCTGAGAGCCTTTACAGCAGCGCCATATTCCCGCCGTGCTACGTCGATCTCCTTAGCTGTAGATCGCCGTCTTCTCCGGGCTCGAAGATACGGGCGGCGCAATCTCGCGAGATCTCCACCCTCCACCAGTACGCCGAGCCCTTCCTGGCTGGCCTGACTCGGGGCATTGAGGCATCACATACGGACGCCATAATGTTCCCGAACCAGGACGCCAATTCTTCTGGATCGGGTGAAACCCTTTCCTCCAACCAATCCGCCACGTGGGATGCGGCAACGACCATCTCTCGGTCAGGCCGCTTGAGGAACCATCGTCGCGGAGGTTCTCTATCTAGAAAACGTACATTTCTGAACGATTTTGATAACAGAAAAGCACTTTGTAAAATTAAGCAATTGCACATTGAATCTCTGTGTGTCGAAGTTTCATTTAACAGATTAGGTACCCCTCAAGGGAGTAGTCATTTCATGTTGATTACAAAAGTTGGTAGGAATTTGCAGTACATACGATAGAAAAGAGACACTTTCAAGTTCTATATTATACAATCGTTGAAAACGCTGACCAGGCCCAGGATCACTGCCTATTGCCTGAACAGGATAGACAATTTTGTTTAACTAATAAAAAAAACAACAACACATTTATTATTTTCTACTCAATTTTGATATAAAACCTGTCATGTTTATCGCCAAAGTATATGCCTATTATTATGGGTATTATTTATTATTCCTAGGCCTATTATTTATATCATGTTTTCGATTTTGTCTTCTCAAAGATGGCCGGTTTAAGGTCGCTTTTAGCGATAAGGCCGTATATTCCATTTATCCACTTCCTAATTTTTTTAAATATATGTTGGTGGGATACGATTAGGACTATATTCTATTGTTTTTTAATCTAAAATTCTATTAAATAGAGTCATTCCAACAGTTTAAAAATAATACTAGCCAATCACTCCTTATTAAAACCGCAATGTCGATTGGCAATAAATCCTTTTCTTTTAAAGTTGAACCGACTTCAAACAATAGTAACAAAGAGCACTAAAAAACTAAAATAAGTGAGAAAATAATAATCAATGTAACAGGTAACGCTATAATAACAATAGATACCTTCTACTCTCTTTGAAGTCGGTGCCAAGCCAAACAGGTACTAGATAGGTTAGGTAGTGGCAGCGCGGCTATTAGAGTCTTTATGCTGTGCAAAACATGCTAAACGAGCCATAGTGGGTTACGCACATCTTAAATGCTATTATTATTTTTAATGCATTATGAAGTAGTAGACCAAAACCTCCATTGTATGGAGAGGCCTATGTCCAGCAATGGACTGTTCAGGGCCGTTGATGATGAAGTAGTTGATAAGTTTGCGTAGGTATGCGTGGTCTGGTTGGTCTTTATTAATTAACAAAATCTGCGATGTTTCATTAGAACTATATTGAATTCTTAATTATTTATTAAGCTGATATAAAGCTGACATAGAGCCTCAGTATTATTTAATGTGCATCGGGCTTGAAAAAACTAAACAATTTAAAAAAAAATTGAAAGTCGGCCCACGACTGACGGAGATATCGCGTAATAAACATATAAAAAAAACAGTTTTGTGTTTTTGAAGTCGGTTAAAAAATATACTGTTATTTATCATTCATCCATACTATTACGACGTTTTGTAGAAGCTCACTAAATTACTGTCTTGCTATTCATTTGTTCTCACACGGTTACTTACAGATGAGTGCTATTTGCTTATATACTATAGCTTTGCATAGTCTATAATGACCCTTTACTGTTACGCAAGTCTATCCGAGCTCAGGATTATTCAAAGTTGAAATCAATAAATTGCCGCTGTGATCTAGTTTAAAATGTCTTATTTGGTCTTTTATGTATGCATTACTATGGTAAAGTTCATAACCCCTATTACGAACATTACAATAGGATAATTTTAATGAAAGGTTGCTGGGTAAAATATAAAAACAACATTAATAATAATATTTTTGAAGTTTTATTACCAATTCTACAGTCTTTACACTAGTTTTAAACGAATTGTGATGGATATAAAATAGATTTCAACATAGAGCGGTACATTTGTTAATACATTAAAATGAGTTAGATATTTTCGAAATTTATTATGGAGTCGTTATTTATAACTATTGATGCAATAGTAACTATTATAGTTAAACGTAGGTATTTAGAAATGTATGAGCATAAATATTTGTTTTGCACTATTTACATCGCTGAGACCGTTTAACGTTTTTCTATTATACATATAATTTATTTTAATTACAACTAGCATAGCAGTACACATCTATTTTAAATTTATTATACACAACATGCTTTAAATGTACTCTTAATTTTATTATCTTACACTTATTTCTATGATAATAATCACATTAAACATTTTATTTATAATTGAACTTTAAAATAAAATACTTGGAAATGATTTTAAAGTATCACATAAAATACGGTTTTTTTACAAACACAGTTGCGTGAAACAAATTTGGAAAACTTTTGAATGAAATAAATTATACACAAGACTAACTAATGTATATATAATATACATAACATAGGTATATATGTAATTATAACTAATACTTTTTTCATGAACCTAGAACATAAATTATACCAAAAGAAAAAGTACCGTGATGACATGAAACTTTTTCGATTATCACACATTTCGTTATTGATAGGTCGTAGTTGTAATAATTCATTCCTGTCTGCCAAACTTTCTGAAGAGGCTTCTGAGACGATGAAGGTATGAGAGGTTCTATTTTAGCGTGAGTGGCATCTTATTCATAAGGGAATCATCGAAAAATCCAATACGTTAACGCTTTAAGTTATGAAACGTAGACACAGTGCTCATGCAAAAAAACGATTTTCAATCTTGTTTACATTGTACTTTCGCTTTATTTGTAATGGTATTTATATCCATATCTGTGGTTTGAACATCTACACCTGGAGTATTAAAATTATCATACGAAATATATTGAGGAGCTTGTTGAACTTCGGCTTTAGTGATAACCTGACGTTTTTTAGTTTTAATATACCCCAAAGCAGAAACCAACACGACAAAAACAATGAAACCGATGCAACACCCCACAACCAGACTAAGTCTTCTTGTTAATATATCTGCAATGTCCATGTACGTATTAGAAAATGGACTGTCTATTGGTGCTCCAAATATTTCAATTGTACTAACACTGGTACATTTACTGCTAACAGAATCATTCATGTAGGGACGAAGATGGCTATAAATTTGTTCATCCCCATATATATTTATACTTGAATTTTCAGGTGAAAGAGCTATTCGAGCGTCTGGTACGGAGGAGCTCGGCGATGCCAACGTTCCCAAGTTACCGAGTGCTATTACGCATACTTTGTATCGGGATCCCGGTGTCAAATGGTTCAATCTAGTCGACCTGGCAGTAGCGTTGAGTATTTTGCCTCGTATCTATAACAAATAACCTCATCTTAGACTCCTGTTTTAATAATATTTATATAGTAATAATAAAAAATTGTACCTATTGACTATTAAAAAAATTCAAGCATCCTTAACAAAACAGAAGATTTAAATGGATTCACAGTACAACATAACATTCACAGGCGAGAAACATAAATATTTTTTATGGTCCATTGAAGTGATACACAGCCTTTGTATTCAAATGTTTGTTGTAGCGGTTGCCGTGCACGTTTTATTCGGTATTCTACGTAAAATTATAAGCTTTTAGTTGCATACAGGTGAAATCATTGCCAAAAATCTGTTCTATTCATAGATGTAGACTGTATCATTAAATAAATGTTGTATTCTTAGATATATTTTACTCACCGGTGTCGGATGATCTTCGCTGAAATAAGCTACTTGATATGCATTCAAACCAGTTTGGTTGCGGCTCTGCCAAGACACTACAATCGAATATGTTTGAATATCTTGAATTGCTATGCGAATTACAATTGGTATATCACAAAGTTTCTGTGAAGGTAATTCGATAAAACTGTAACCATGAAGATCTTCCGGATGCTCACATCGTAAATTACGACTGCCTTTGTAGATTATTTTATAGTGATCTTTCATCCATCGCCAAACCTCTTGAGTTTCACAATTACACGTCAATGGATTCTCTGAAATATTAGATCGTAATTTTATTATAGTCCTTAGATTCATGAAAGCGATAAATAAAAAAGAAATACTTCATCTTACCGTTGAAAGATATGCTCTTTACTTGTGTTTCTAATGCTAAGAGCATTTTCATTTGTATGATTTCAAAGTAATTTCGGCTCAAGTCGATAAATGTAATCTTATTCAAATTTCGAAATGCGTCTGCAGATATCGTTGATAACCAGTTGCCACTCAAATATAATTCTGTGAGGCTCTGAAGCCCTCGAAATACGTCTCGATGTATTTTATTTATATGATTGTTAGATATGTCTAACTTCTGTAGACTTTGTAAGTCAGACGTGAAATCTTCCAGTTCCCTTATTACATTTTGAGATGTATTCAGCACGCGTGTAGAATACAATCCTTGAAGTCTTTCCCTCGGAATGTTTTCTAATTTATTTTGACTTAAATCAAGAATTTCTAAGCTGTGGAGCTTGGAGAACGCTCCCGGTGAGAGACGTATTATGGCGTTCTGAGATAGTTTTAACCGTTTAAGTGATGGAAAGTTTTCAAAATCTTTGCTAGTTATAATAGTTAGGTTTGTTTTTGTGACAACTAATTCTTCTAAGACAGGAAACAACTTTGATGGATATGTTTGTAATAATTGCACTAAGGAGTTGGATGACATATTTAGTGTTTTTAGTGCAGGTAGAACTGATTCTGATAAGCCATTACTAGGTATGTTTTTGAAAAGATTTCGTGATAAATCAATCTCTTTTAAACCTACAGAATGTTGGAAAAAGTTCGGGGGAAGAATTGTTAACATATTGTCGCATAAATTTAAGGTCACTAAATTTTTTAATGACGGCGAGTTAAATCCATTTAACATTGAAATTCGATTATCACATAAATTGAGTGTTCTTAAATTCTGTAAACCAATAAACTTGAAAAAGTCAACACTATGTAATTGATTGCTACATAAATCTAAAAATTCTAATGAAGTTACATTGAACAGAGCGTGATGAGGGAAATCGGTGAAATTGTTGCCCTTTAAATTAAGCTCTTGTAATATTGTTGTGTACGCAAAAACATCTTTATGTAAATCTCGTAAGTTATTAAAAGCTAAATTAATTCTTAGTAGATTCTGATTTTTGATAAATGTTGTTGGGGGTAGTTGTGATATATTTGACAATTCTAGCGACAAAGTTTGCAATGAAGGTAAGTGTGCAAAAGTCTTGTTCTCTAGTAGGGTAAAGTTATTTTCTGATATTATTAATGACTTAAGTCCAGGTATATGAATTTGAATAATATCTTCCCAAGTCAAGTCATTGTTATTCATATCTAAGTCACTTAAGTTTGGTAAACTTTTGAGAGAATCTACTTCGATGATTGCAATCGAGTTCTTATTGAGTCGGAGCTGTTTGATGGGCAAAGAAGAAATATCAAAATTAAATATAATAATATCATTTTGTGATAAGTCAAGAATTTTCAGTTTTACTAAGTATTGAAATGTATCTTTGGCGACTTGATTTATATGATTATTTTGTAGATACAACTCTTCTAATGTTACAAGTTTATAAAAGGTCTCATTACTTAATTTAAGAATCTTATTATTACTTAGCTCTAAAAATTTGATTTTTTTTAAGTGCATAAAAGTTCTATTTTCTATATGTACAATACTATTATTTTTTAAATACAGCCTTTGAATATTTAACAAATCATTAAAAAGATTAGAGGTTAATAACTTAATGTTATTTTGGCTAAGCCACATTATTTGCACATTCACTTGCCCTCTTAAAGAGGTATTTTTCAACATTGATAAATAATTCACGCCAAGTTGAATTGAGACCAAGGATGAATTTCTATTGGGAAACACATCGCCAATAGTAGATAATCGATTACCCTGCAAATTTATGTGTTGAAGACTTTTGAGGGTAATAAATGCGTGAGAATCTATAGTCTGAACGACATTATTCTGTAAATGCAATTCTAAAAGGCCCGGCAGAGGACTAAAAACATTTCTTTTAATTTGACTTAACTTGTTATTTTGCAACCGTATTTCTTTTAACTCATCAAGTTTTTCAAATATTAATTCGTCTAGTTCGTTAATTTCATTATTATCTAAGCTTAAAGTTACTAGTTTACGATTCGTTTGAAATACATTTCGTGGAAGTTTCTTTAAAAAGTTTGTTCCCATATGAAGTTGCGTTAAATTTTTTAAGGTTGCAAAACAATTTGCATGTAGGTTTTGAATTGCATTGTGTTCTAAATTGAGAACAGTTAACCCATAAGCATTCTCAAATGCATCATCTGATATTTCGAGAATATTATTTTCTGAGAGAAATATTTCCGAGAGTTTGTGTAAGTTTGAAAATACACCGTTGATATGATGGAGATGATTATGACTTAAGTCTATTGTGCGTATATTATGGTTCTTTTGAAATACGGATTTTGCTAACATCTTTATTTTATTTCGACTTAAATCAACAGTCTCTAAACTTTCTAATGCATAAAACGCTTCTTCATCTATTTGCTGTATTTGATTACTAAAAAATGTTAACGTCTTTATATTGGGCATATAACTAAACCAGCGTTTTTCAATTTTCATAAAGGAATTTGAATTTAAATCTAGAGTGAACAAGTTGGCTATTGTAGCATTTATATTGTCTGGTATTGAATTGATTTTATTCCACGCCAGTCTCAAGTTACTAAGTTTATTTAATTTTCCGAAAGACTTCAAGGGGAAAACATTTAGAAAATTTTCACTTATATCCAGTTCAGTCAAAGATTCTTCTAAACTTAGAAATGCATTTTCCGATATATTGGCAATTTTATTTCCTTTTAAATTGATTTTTTTCAGTTTAAGATTTCTGAAAATGTTTGCTTGGATATCTTTGATGTCGTTGAGCTGTAAATCAAGTGACTCAATGTGGTATAGCTCCAAGAATGATTCATGTGGAATTTTGTTTAATTTACTGGAAATTATACTTAAAGATTTTAACGAATCACGTAAAGATGTAAAAGCATTAGAGTTTATTTTATATATTCCTGACTGTGAGATTTGCAAATTGATTATCTTAATTTTTGAGGGAAATATGTCAGGCTTCAGTTCTGTTGTTGAGCTTTCTAAATCATATATTGACAACGATTGGATGGTTCCTCTTATCTTGGACAGCACATTTTTTACGACTCCTGGTGTCGCGCTGGGGCACTCCAAAAACAATCCTGTAAAAGAAACCACTGTTATTTTTTTGTTGCATTAACTTTTAACTTTTAAATAGTAAGATTTCTTGCTTACCTTCCTTGAAGTTATAGCATGGACAAATTGGGTTCTCTGCTAGGCTTGGACATTGAGATTGCTCTTCTCCTTGTAGAATTTGGATATGAATGATGATGAGCAATGCATATACGCCGCATTTCAGGCGAGAGAGAAGAGTGATAATGCCCATGGTGTTGCGACGTCATTTCAATAGCATTGTGCATTCGTAGTTCACATTATACCATATATTGTTCTAGAACAAAGACACAATAGGATTGTTAGTTACGCAGTCATATAAATTATCCTTACGAAAACAAAATTAGGTCACGTTGCCGATGTTATCAAAGTATTCAATAAATAATTTCTGTATAACAATAAGCTAGTATGGACGTGAACACCACACATACGCCTGTTTGATCTCTGACAGAATCTGTACTATGGTAGTTAAATTGCTAATAAATTTATACATTACTTAATGCATACATACTCATTATGATCATCATCATCAACAGCTTTTAATAGTCCACTACTGGTCATAGGCCTGTCCTTAGACAGAAGGTTTGGGCTGACTATAAACCCCATACCAATAGGATTTGTTTTGAGTTTTTTTTTTCTCTTTGCAGTGCTGCTGTCCTGCGTAGTTTGGTTCCTTAGTTGGCTCTTACGATATCTATGGGATGCATAGGGGTAATGACACTCCGTATTCTTAATCCGTCACCACACGGATGCATACTATCATAAATACAATCGATTGATTACACTCCAATACAGGACTAAAACCAGGGAGAGCACCTTATATATACACACTTATTTCTTTTTTTAGCAACCCAGACCAGGCCAGAGTTCATTAGCCAGGATCACTAACTATTAAACCAACGGGCCCGTTTATAAATATAATTAAATCAGATGTAAAAGATAATTAACATTGCCGCACCTCTGTATCTTTAATCTGCTATACATTTATTTGATTAATTGCGTCTTAAGAAAAAGATAAGTAAATCTTTAATTATGGAATTAATTAAAAATAATAAGTCTGTAGACATAAAATAGAAATAGAACTTGAGCAGAAGTTACAAATGCAATAAGTAACAAAACAAAGATTTTTGAGAAGATATGTTCTTTATATCGCAATAAAGTTCCAAATCCAGGATTCGAGATTTTGTTTCTTACTATATTTTTCTATCAGCTAAAATATTGAAGACTCCACGGGCAAAAAAAGTCACTTTTTTTGTGAAACTGACTTTTTATTACCATCTTACGGCTTATTGATGGTTTATTTTTTACATTACTCAGAATTAGGTAAAACCATCGTGGTCCGCTTTAGTAATTAGTTAAATTTCTATCTGTTCATCTTTGGCAAGAAACAGGAATATCTGCGCAATGAACGTCAAAACCCGTCGTTGTTAATTCATTATTATTTCGTTTTCTATGTATTTCAATCAATATAGTACACCCATCGATAGGTACAATCCGTAATCTGATCGTTTAATATTTGTAAAACAAAGAAGCAACGTCAAGGGCTAGTAATGTCTAAACCTGAGAGGGACTGAATTAAAAATCGATTTGATACTTTAACGTTTATTTGAGACAAAGCGTCCCCGTGGGGTACTGCGAAAAATAATAAAGAATGAAATTACCTTGCCAGCTTAACTTTTCTCAAAGCCAATCCCACGCCAACAACTTTACCGAAAGAAAGTGTATTATAGCCACGGATTTTATAATTTAACTAGCCTTTGTCCCGATTTTGTAGATGAAGGCAGAAAGTATGCTCTGTTGTACTCGGACCTCAAGTTAGTTAAGACCGTGTCAAACTTATTCAAAATTGTTTAAATTCTCAACAAAATGAATAAAAACCTTATATTTCATTTCTTAAAAAAAGGTGATCAAGTGGTGTTTAATTACTGCATTTCAATAGCTTATGTTAGATTAAATAATTCGCGTAGGTAGTGGGTCGGGGTAGTGACATTCTGTGTTCTTAATCCGTCACTACTCGGATAGATTAATATAAATAGGTTAGGATAAGATAAATTAATATAATTTGAAAGTAAGTTGTTTACTAATTCAATAGAATTTCATGCTTGTTTCTTAAAGAAACGAGATAGCAAATTGCAAACGTTAGCAGCTTAGATATATTTTTTAAGACTTTTTGTAAAATAAATATAATATGCAAATATTAGTACTATAAATAAGAACACTGTTTTTTTACTTACTATTCGAATTTTATTCCTTCTAAGTTCCTTGTTGATACGAAATTATCTATTTACCCAAAGTAACGAGTTTGCAAACTACGAAAAACTAAATAGTTTCCAATAGTTTTTGTCGTAGAAAACGGGTCATTAAATGTAATAAGTTGTAGCACGGTTCTCATTATATATATATGTATATATAAGCGACGTTATATAAAAAAAAAATAATGGAATGGACTTACAATAAAATATGCCTTTTAAATTAGACTTAAATTATAACAAAATGGCCTTTGTTCTTAATCTTATGGCAGAAATATAACCAAAGCTGAATAAGGAGAATAGGTATTCTCAAAGAGAACTAAATTTCCTGTTTGCGGTATCAGTGTAAAAACCCTTTAAATTATTATTATCGTTGTCTTCGTGCAGTATTATTTCTGGGCTTGGTAACTGTAACTGCGTTCTGTATATAGGGCAATTTGCTTATTTATCATCTAGGTTTACATTTAATTATTCGGTGATAAATCGCTTTGTTGGAACGAAGTTCCTTATCGCGCATTGTGTAAGGGGGCTATCCGGAAAAAATTCTCACGAAAAGTTATAACGACACTTTTTATGTCAGTCATTCGGCGCCATCTATCGAATAGATAGGAAATCATTACTTTTCATCTCAGTATTTATTTTAAATTGTCACTTGTCAGTCATTCAGCGCCTCTATCGAATAGATATAATCATTTCTCAAGGAGATTTTACCAATGTATAAATTGTTTTAATTAGAAACATACTGAAAAATATGTAGGTAATAGCCGCTTTCATAGATTGCGTTGTAATTCAAATCGTGTCGAATCAGTTTTACTCGATCGTCACAACTTCGTTCCTATCGGGTGTCCCACGACACCACACGGCTTTTTTTTATTTAAACTTCTACGTTTAGTAATTATACTTCTTTTTATCTTTTTGCTTCATCTCATTTCTGTATTTAGTTTTTATAAGTTAATAAAACCCTTTTCTAATATTAAAAATTAACGTGACGGTTATTAGTCCAAAAGTTGAAATCTTTTTATTTACATTTTATTAGATTGCGTTTCTCTATACTTTTATTTACCTAACTTATAAAAACCTTCACAGTTTTATAGAGTTATTATAGTTTTATTATAAAAAAAAGTTATCTGTTTGTAACGTATGGAAGCCGAGCGACTGTTGGAGCTAAATTTGTTGTGCCTCGATTTAAGACATAAGTGTTCAGGTATCGTTCTCTTAACAAAATGTTCTACTGATTAAAAAAATGAAAGAATTTTTTGCTTTTTAGTGTAAATTTTAAGTCTAACTTGCTTGCTTTGATAACAATAGTGCAGGACCCCGATAATATACTACATAGAAGGGTCACGATTTAGTGCACTATGATATCTGCATTACAGTGGACATTTATTATTTCAAAGTATTTACATAACTATACAGAATAGCCACTAATTGTAACGATATTTTACACAACAGCTTATCTCGAAACAGAAGTTTCCTTGGCCATTTATCAAGCGTTTATTCTGTAATCACAATATAATTACGCTAATGCCCGGAGCAGGGGCGGATTCATCATTGTTAATGCTTCCTAATTAAATTTTATTAGATATTTAAGTTTTCATTGGATAAGTAGTTGAGTGCCTAAAGTCAAATGAAATGTCCAACTTATTTTTCGATGTCAAATATTACTAGCTAAGAAGACAATATAGTTTTGGTAACACAATTACTTTTTGTTTTATAATAAACGTAATTACAGTATTTGTGTATACTGTCTTGGATTCCCAATCTGTAACTTTAAACGACTGATCGACTGATATCGGTGTTCTTTTTTTAAAAAGAGTTTTATCCTATTTCATTAAAAAAAGTCATTACTAGGTGTGAAAAATTATGGGATGAAGAGACGGTTTGGTCCATGTTGAACCCCTACAATTTATTACAATTCATCATCACGTAGGCTCATTGTCACACATACTTAAAATATTTTAACTCAACATATATTCGTTCCGAGATATCATTGTGGAAAATTGTTATTTATTCTTTATATTTCAATATCACCCATATTGCAATATAAAGAATAAATAACAATATATTCTTATTTACATGCATGCTTTAAATATCGATTGTTTTGTATTATTGGGCATTCTCTTTGTACATACACTAGTACACAAAGACAAAACAAACAGAAACCTTTAATATTTAAAAAAATCCCTTGGTTTTACGCACTCTATCGGGGTTTGCGGCAGAGCGGTGTGTTGAAATCGGACCAATTAAAACTCCACGGTGTGCCACTCTGCACTTGTAATAGGAGCGATCCGGGAACTGCGGTTATTAAGACAACCGGACCCCTCTCAGCGCCCAAAATGGCGCGATCATCACCTTTGGGTACATTCTCTATTTAGGCGACGTCCGTTCCGGCACACGCGGACGTTACCTCCTTGCGGCTGGCCGTTATGACGGGTGGAGGTGAAAACCCGTCCCGTGTCCACTCTCAGGACGGCACGAGGCGCTGGTAAAGTTTGAAAGTTCTCACCCCGGACTGTGACCAATGTGTCATCGGCGTAACAAATTACACCAAGGCTGGGGGAAAAATCAGCTCGAATGACCTAGTAGAACCCTATGTTTCACAGGAAGGGTGAAAGAACAGACCCCTGTTTTACGCCGCACAACATGGCCAACACCTCAGATAAAACAGACCGAAACCCATCCTAACCTCAGAGTCCCATAATGATAAACGCTTAATGATGGTCAAAGGCACTCCCTGAACAAACGAATAATGGTGCTAATTCTGATGTTGTCATCGCTAAACTAAAATTTCTCTAAAATTATGTTAGTGAAGCGAGTTCGAAATGCTGTTGTTAAGTCGAACTAAATTTCGTGTACATTATGACAGCATTAAATTTGAATCCGACATCACTAAAAGTTTAAAAGGAAATTGTTACCATTGCTTAAAAATAAAGAATAAAGAGAAATGATATATTAAGGACTTTAA